CTATCTTACTGTATTTTTATTTTTATTTTTTTGAATTTATTTTTACTATGAAATTGGGATTTATAGGAAAGAGTTTTACATTGAATTGTTCTTGTAATAGTCTGTTAGCATTCACTATTAAAAACAAAAAATTTTAAGAAAATAATGCCTTTTGCAAATATATGTATTACACAGGGATCTCAAGTTTTGTATAGATGATACATTTATCCGATTCCATGTGAAATGATAATCAAAGAATTTTTTCAACACGTTAGTAAAGAAATATCAACTCCAAATATACAAACCACCTTGAATTTTAAAAAAATTAGTTATATTGAAATAAGTTAATCTATAAATTTAGAAGCTATACAGGTAAACCCCGACTGCAAAATTATTGAGCTTATCAGTACATTCAGAACAAATATTTATTATCATCTTAAAAATGAAGAAAAGTCTACTAATATTCTAAATAGTTTTGATATTCTTATGCAGTCAGCAGCACGTAATAAAAAATTGTGTATTCCTAGCTTCTTATATTCTGCACCTAATCACAAACAATCATTGCGATTAGATTTAGTAAATTGGATTCAACGTTATCAAAGTGGTTGGTCAACACAAATTTCTGCGAATAATCAAGGAAAACAATTTGTCATTGCTTTGTCAGAAGCATTATGGTACTTAGACATACATGATTACAAAAAGTTAGAAAAACGAAGTTTTCATATTCCTCATCTATTTCATGAATTTTTGAATCGTGCAAATCTGGAATCGTACAAAGAGGCTAGGAAACCATTTGATGCAAATGAGCTTAATCTGCATTGTCAAGCACTTGCTCCATTCGTCACATCTCCGTGGATGAAATCTTCAAACTTCATCTGGTTATCTAAGGAATTGGATAAACTTATTTTAGTTATTTCTAGATATGTAAATTATTTACAAAAACAAAAAAAAATAACGGTGACTAATCATAGAAGTGAAGTTCTTGTTCGAGACATAAAACAAGCTACAACTATAGAAGTTCATAAACCTAATATTTGGATAGATTCAAAAAATAAAAAAAAATATAATAAGCTTGAAAATGTTTTAAAAGAACTTCCTTTTTGTAAACCATTTAATATTGAAGAATATTTGCTATTAGATCCAATGCATATAATTCGAATCATAAGGGTATAATATACCGTTCTTTACTGCTCATAGTGTCACCACAAAATAATACACTTCGTAGTTAAGACCAGGTATTAATTACCACTATTTTGGTCTGTTTTTTGAATAAGGCCTGAGGTATAACTTTATTAATATATTACTTTTCAAACGAATATCTCTCAAATATAGTACCCGGTTCTATACAAAGTACCTCTGGATATTAATTAATTTTAAAACTGAAGGTTTTGAATAATGTCTAGATACTATGGGCAGCGCTAAATAATAGTAACTAAGTTTCATAAGATTATTCACAATTTGTTTATTTTAGGCAGCGATTCTGATTTATACAAAACCTTAGTTTAGCATTTATGTTCAAAATTGGAGAGTACCGATATAATTCAGGTAACAATACATATAATAGTATTTCAATTTGGAGGATTGATGAAAATGCCAGTAAGACAAAAATAGCACAAGAAAATACACGAATTATAAGGGAATTACAAAATGATGTACCTCATTACTACACTCATACTATACATAAAAACTACATTCGCATATGTGATCTTTTGCTTCCAAAAGTGAAAGCTGCTCTGTTGCAAACAATTTATCGTATGTTATCAGGAGACATATTAGCTGCTGAAAATATGCATGAAGCAAAAGTGGATGCTCGTGTGAGAATGGTTTTAAAACTTGGTGACCCTAGTATAATAATTGATTTGCATAAGCATAATGAAGGAAAGTCAGAAAAATATAAAATATTTTGGGACATAGTATCAAATTATCTTGTAGGAAAAGCTTCAGATTTAGTCACTGCAGTTGATGAATGCTATCATGATCTCATTGTACATCTTGCTACAGCTATTTCAGTAAAGGATTTACTTTGACAAATTGAATTAAAGTGTCTACCTAACACACCAATTCCTAGTGAGCAGTGGTTCAGATTACAATTCTGGCCCAAAAACCCAACATATAAAAATAGTTTACAATACACAGGTAGAATTGTGTTATGAAAATTACAATCTTACAATACTTGTAATTTTATATAAGTTTCAGTAAATCAAATTTCATATGACTTTTATCGTGTTATATATAAAGTATCAGCTTTACAAAGTCAGCCTGCATTATTGCATCATTTGATTTGTAGCTCCTCAATCACCAAAGCTTTTTGGTATCAAAAACTACAGATCATGTAATTGTAAATTACATGAAGATTATGATACGATTCCCTGAAAGTTATTTACCTGATAGGCCACTTACCCAACATTATACAGGGTGACAAATTGCTAAAGATATATATCTGCATCTAATTAAATACTAACCTTAACCCTATGTGATGTCAGATAAGTGGCCTGTCAAATAAATAGCTTTCGGGAAATTGAGCGACAACTTTACATGAAAACCAATTTACCAAAACTTATTACAAAATTACTAAAATTATAAAAATTATAGTAATTTTATAATCTTATATATAGGTCGCCTGCCATTAAAATTTATGATGCAAGCTCGATAGTTACGTGCGGATCACCCAGATGTACATTATGCATCTGCGCTATTTCAGTATGAGAAAGAATTCGTGGTTAGATTTCGTAATATTTTAATACTTATTTTTCTTGATGACAAACATCGATGTAAAATTGGAGAGCCTGGGTATCTAATGGTGGCAGTAGAAAGGTGTAAACAAGTTATTGTTAGAAAAAATACAACCTTTATAGTTAGTGATCATGATTTTACCAAAACTGAAATGGTTCCAAGCGTGACAATGCTATATGATATTTCAAAAACAATTGATGGTGATTTCTACTCGGGTAAAGTAAATATCTGCTTAAAGGATCCAATATTCTAACCTTTCTCCTCTTTATGGCATATGACAGAACTTTCTAATATTTTTTGGATGCAAGAAACAAGCAAACCCGTATTATGTCTATATACTGATAGGAGGCCCGATCATAGATGTACATTTGTTAGAGTTCAATTGTCATATATCTGTTTGTTTTTAGAGCATAATCTTGATTATCTTGTTGCAGTTAAAACACTACCGTATCATTCATGGAAAAATCCTGTTGAACGTGTTATGTCAGTACTAAACCTGGGATTGCAAAGTATAGGGCTAATGTATAATAAAATGGAAGACAATTATGAAAAACTTCTTAGTAAGGTAAATACAATGAAAGAAATTAGAGAAATTGTGGAATCAAACCCTATATTCAAAAATAAACTAATCGAAAGTATTCAAGAACCTATTCATCTTGTTCGTAAGATATTTGAAAGGCAGTGTTTGAAAGATGATCCATTCGAAACATTTAATGTCCATCAGATGAAGAGATAGAAATATTTTGGAAAGTAATTCGTCAAATTGACAAGACTGTAACCCACGATGACAATACTATGTATCTTATAAAATAAAGAGTAAGTGAATATTAAAATTATTAAAATTAAAAAAAAAAAAAAAAAACTAATAAATGGTTTGATTTTTTTGCTTTTTTAAAGCAACACTTAAAAACTTTTATGATCATTGTTGTACAACCTGTCATTATTTTTTTATAATAAAAAATGCAGAAAGGATACTTGTACGATCTGCAAACCACCACGTTGTTCACTTGAGATATTTAATCAACTCCATTGTATTTCTGATCCAATTCCAGGAAATGATTTTTACTATAAATCTTTTGAGGAGTTATATGGTACCATAACAACTGAAAAGTATAGACCTTCATATTAAGAAAAAATGCTTCAATCACAATCTAAAAAAATGAAACAAAGAAACAGATCAAAGCATACAATGCCATTTTGCCCTTCTGCATTACGTGCTAAAAATGTAAAAATTACTGTTACTTGTACAGAATGTAGTAAGCCACACCTTCTGTTTAGTGCAAAAAAAATATCAGATAAGGATTGTCAATTACTTTGCCAATTTCTTGATATGATCCTATATACTTGTGGAACAATATTTGCAAATACTAATAAATTAACTTTGGCTATACCATTTTCGGCTGAAGCTTCAAATAATGATAATAATAATTCTACATCACCTAAAATAGCAGAATCTCCAATTGAATCTGATAATGAATCTGATAATGTTGAAAATAATAATTATAAAGAAAGTTTCAATTTTGAATATGATATTGCTATGTCTGATAAGGATATTCAAAGTGATAATAATGCCAATTATGTAGATGCTGAACCTAAAGATTTTGTTAGTAACAATAGTAAAGATGTGGTTAATAATCCTATTCAGAAGCTTTTTAGTCGTATATTTGTAAATGATTCTTGAACTTGTGCTTCTCCTATCGAAAAACTGTATTATTCTACAAAGATTTATCCCAAAATTTGCTATAGCTGTGGTAATACTAATGTTGAAGATGTGGAAATAAAAAATACATATCTGGCATATAGTAATTGTACTGCAAGTTCAAAAAGATAGTATAAATAGAAACAAGCAGATCAAAGTAATAATAAAAAATCCTGTACTGAAATATAGTAAAACCGTAAGTATATATTTTTGGAGTTAAACTTTAGCAAAGTGCATTTAAAGATCAATAAGAGAAAATGCACTTATCATTATGAAGATTTTACTGTATTGTAATTTTTTGAGTTTACTCAATAAAATTATGCAATAGATATTTTATGAAATTTTTGACCCATTTTTAACAATAGCGATAGGTTAATACGTATGAGGAAAAGTCTACTTATTAATATGTACTAGTTATATGAAACTGCATATACATACGAATATAAACTCACCAGTAATGTAATACATGTAATACAAATAAATCACGTAATAATAAATAGATCGAATGTTTAATTTTGCACTGTATATTTGATTAATTCTTATTGGTTGATTTTTTACTACGCCTAAAATTAAAATTTTTTAATTTGGATTTGGTAACCTGGCTGGTTATGAGAACCGAAAATACAAATTTGTATAGCCTAATATTGTGTTACAAATATTTGTTAGACTACCCTATAAAAGATAGAACGAAAAAACTAGGTTAGCAGAAAAAACAGAAATTATTGTCTTAAAAAAAAATTATTTTCTTTAAGTATGCTCTAACAATTACAAATCAATAAACTATATTATTATGTTATTACTCTAATAAACTTTAACAACATAATTACATCACTACTATAACTAATTTTAATAATCATCAGATTAAAAAATTATACAATTAATTATACTGCTACTCCCAGGCTTACTAATTAAAAATACTATACAATATAAATAAAAACTACGTCATTTTGCTATAAAAATTTGTGTAATACACTCTTACTTATTAAACAATAAATTAATTAAACTTAGTGTTTAATTTAAGACAAAATGCTGCTCTGATACTATCATATTAGGCAGCCAATAAAATTTAGTTTTAAAACAAAACCTCTTTAATAATAATAAGGAACACTACTATTATTTTTTTAAGATACAATTCAGCATAATTTAAAGATTTTTTTTTATAAATTATATAGTATATGTTTATTAGCTAATATATATGTTTGAGATTTATTGTTATATTTTTAAAGCTAATATTTCTTATACGCATATTTTTATATTGATCTGTAAAAATTTTGAAAATTATAAATTATCCCTTAAACTGTATTCCAGGCAAATTTGCCTGGAAAATTTAATTGTATTTAGTATTTTTTAAATAAAATA